ACTTTGTGGGAAAAGCCACTCCCGCTCTGAGGACAAAACTGCCAAACTGACAAAATCTTCAGAGACGACTGTTCAAAAAAAAAAAAAAAGTTTAAGAAGACAAAATCACTCAAGCTGTCAGCATCCCCGCAACTTCTTAAGAGGAACAAATGATGTTCAGCCATGTGAGACAGTTCAAAAGGACTGCACAAATGAGGGGACTTCTCCAGATCCAGATGGAGTCAAATATGCCAGACCTCTAAAAGTAACCAAAGCTGGGAGATTTTAAAAAGACTCTTATGCACATGATCTAATATTTAAGCCTTTTATGCTTCTGGCAAAAGGCAAAGTCATGTCTTTAGCCAAGGCCTTCTATTTAAACAAAGACAATATAAACTTCAATGGTATATAACTTCTAGTTAGGGACACTGTGAGTCTTCTTTCTGTACAGAACTGACTCACTGATGTTTACTCTCTAATTGGACTAACACCTGCCTGGTATACCTGGCCCCTAATGTAGTCAGCCCTTAACTGCCCACTAAAATGACAGTCCAAAATAGAGGGCCACCTGAGAGTTAAAATAGCTATAGATATAAACACCTCTAAGGCACAGTAACCTTGAGTCTGTCACTTTTCAAAATTACATTATCCTTCCTGCCATACCTAGCAGGGCACCTTCTGATGCTCCCATCATTGTTAATGTTCAGGTCATGCCTTCTAAACCAGATTTATCTCTTCCAGAATAAAGGCCTCTAGGACCCAAACCATGACATAACAAAGCCATCAACTTCTAGAGGTGGACGAGATACCCATGAACAATCTTGATCAGGCTGGACAAAGATTCAGACAACAAGTGTTACTGTTCAAGTCTCTAGATAACAGCAATAGGAAAGGTCAATATTCCCATTAGGTAGGGTCTACAGACCCTTGACAGCTAAAAGCAGCTACTGAAGATGGACCAGCCCCCTTCAGCAACCCCAAAAAAGAATTTTTGTGATACTGTCCCTCAGGGGGAGTTTGAGGCAGGATAGGTTAGGGATAGCCTGGTACTGCTCTCCCTGTTGACTCAAGAGCGCCTTCCTCTAGCCCACAGGTGAGAGAAGTCAGGTAATGATGTATTGACTCCCCATCTCCAAGTTCAAGATGGTATAAAAATGACCTACCAAAAGACCCCAGCCCTTCCTCTTTTCTTCCCTAACCTGGCAGAATGGGTGACTCCCCATTCCTCAACAAAGCTATTCTACCTCACCCCATCCACATGTTCTGCTTGGATTCTTCCACACTGGAACCCAAGAACCAAGGTCTTCTAAAAACTCCATTTGCCAATAACACCATGTAGCTAGGATTACAGACATGAGCCACTGGCGCCTGGCTGCTTTATATCTTTTCACTGCAGCAAATATTTGTCTCATGAGTAGGATGGTGCCATGTTGAGTCCTATGGGTCCTCTTAGTAAATCATCAAACCAGGGAACCCTCTGACTTGTTTGAAAACTGCTGTATTATGAATATGCTCACCACGCTACACACAGATCCATCAGGAGAGGGAAGAAGACTTACTGGATAGAGCTAACTGAGCTATAGCATCTGACTCATAAATGGCTACACACTAAATTAGAGACATGGGGGTGACATCTGGAAAGCCAGGCTAAAAAAACAGGAAGAATTAAAAAACAAGAAATAACATAAAATATCTGAACAGATCCATCGGCCATTACACAAGAGAAAAAAAGTTTCTCAAATAAAGTCCATGCATGCCAGGTATAGTGGCTCATGCCTGTAATCCTACTGCGAGGAAGGCAGAGGCAGGAGGGCTAGGGCTCAAGGTCAGCTGGGGACCCTATCTCAAAAAACAAAATACAAAACAACCAAAGGGCTGGGGGCCAAGTGTAAGGCCCTGGGTTCAATCTCCATTACAGCAAAAACAGAAAAAAGTCCATACAAATTTAGTAAAATAAAGAAAACAGCAACAACAACAACCCAGAAAGAATCAGAATCCAGAGTTGCTATAATATTTCATCTAAAATATCCAGTTTTTACGCAAATAAATAGAAAAGTCTGACACATGTTTAGGAAGGAAAATTAAAATACAATTAACAATGACTCAGCAGACAGTGAACTTCAATACAAAAATAAATCTTTAGAAAAATACAGATTTTAGAGTCAAAATGTGTAACTGAAATGAAAATTTACTAGATGAGCTCAAAAACAAGTGTCAAAAGGCAGAACAATCAATAAACTTGAAGCTAGGCTAATAGCAATTGTACTATCTGAAAAACAGGGAGAAAAAAAACTAAAGGAAGAAGAACAAAGTTCAAAAATCTTTGCAACAATATTATTGCACACAAACGTGTTACTGGGAGACACAGAAAAAGAAGGATAGAAAAACACTTGAAGTGATGAATGGCCCTTGACTTCTAAATTCTGATGAAAAATAGTAACACCCCAAAAGTTCACTGAACACCTAGAAGGATGAACACAAAGAGATCCATATCTAGACATATCATAGTCAAACTTTTAAATGTGAAAATCTTTTAAGATTGCTTTAGCAAATGTAGGAAAACAACTATGTACACAGGGAAAACATTAGATGAATAGTATTTTACTCGTGTTTATAAAGTGTCAATTGACTTGCTTTTCAGAAACATGGAGGACATAAGTTTTCAAAGAAATTAACAGTCAACAAATAATTTTTTTTAATCCAGAAAAATGATATTTTATTTACCTTAAAGTTAAGGTAAATAAAAACATTATGAGAGAAACAAAACCTAACAGAATTCATTGCTGACAGCTTTGCCTTACAAGAATTAGAAAAGGAAATCTAGCAGGCTGAATGGCAACGACCCTGGGCAATAACTCACATCCACAGGAAGAAATGAAGAGCAATAAAAATGGCAAAAGTGTAGGTAAATGTAAACAGCAACATAAGCCTATTTGGCTTTTTCTCTTAATTTCTTTTAAGAGATATAAAACTGCCTAATGTGATAAACTAACTCTATGTTGCTGGCACTTACAAATAGATGGGATATATTTGACAATAGCAGCTTAAAAGAAGGGGGAGGAAGGAGAAATATCCTGGAGTAAAGGCATGGTATATTTACCTGAATCAAGACAGTATTAGCCTGAAGTAGTTTGTTTTAAATTAAGAGGCTTGTTACATTCCTAAACAGCCATAAAAAATAAATAATGAGGAGACAGCTGCAATTTCATGCTTATTACAACAATATTCACAAGAGCCAAAGTAAGTATCCATTAGCCCAAGCCAACCTAGCCCACCTATGCATCCACTGATGGGTGAGTGGAGAAAGAAAATGGGATCTGTGTATACCCACCATGATAATAAATGACAACAATAACAATGATAATAAACAGTAACAACGACAATACCAGCTAATATTTATTGAGAACTGACTCTGTGCTTGTTCTTTAGGTCAATTGTCTAAGATCTCACAGGGGAAATGTGGTGATCAGGACTTGCATCTAAGCCTGACACCAGAGCTTATACACTTAAATGTTACACAATTAGTCTGTAAACTTCTAGAATTCATCACAGATGGAATCAGATGCAAACAAAACAGGAAGACTGGAACTACTTGAGTCATAGCATCCAGCTATCAGACTTCCACCAAGAGAACTGACAGGAACAGGGATGGGAAACCCAGGAAAAACTAAGAAATGGTTCTCAGTCCCTCAAGTGTGTCTCATTTTCTTATTAGAGAGGAAAAGGAAGAAAATCCTTCTTAAAGGATGGGAAGCCCTGCCATTTACTTCTTTTGACCAACATCAAAATTAAGAATATATGAGCTAATGCAGCTCATATTGCATATTTCTAGAAATATTAAGGTTACAACTAAATTATTTCTAATTTTGAAAATCACTGTGTCAATGGCACTTTTTTTGTGGGATGAGATTTGAACTCAGAGCTTCCCTCACAAAGGAGGCTCCCTACTACCTGAACCACACCTCCATTGCATTCTGGTCTAGTTATTTTGGAGATGGGGAAATACTTGCTTGGGCTGGCCTAAAACCTTGATCCTACGACTCTCAGTCTCCCAATAGCGAGGATTGCAGGTGTGTCACCAGCACAGGTTCTTCAGCACGTTCTGGTTTGTTTGTTTCTAGTACAATATTAGGCTGTGACAGAAATGACAATAGTCATTTTAACCTGTATCTTTAATCAGTAACTTGATACTTTAATCAGTATCTTCACCAGTTTGTCCTCCCACAGTGAAGAAACAGACTCCATAAGCCTGGGATGAGACTATTTTACTTTTCTTCCAGCTCACTCTCTGCATCCCAGCTGACTCAATCCCACTTCAACTATCATCTTCATGATCAACTTCTGCATTCTTCCTGTGTGTTCCTGCTGCACTCTGAACTTAGTACTTTTTAAAAAAAATCAAAGCCTTCACTACCCTGTGTTTTAATTGCTGTTGGCCACCTAACTTAGGCTGTGCTGATTAAAACATGAAAATAAAGTAGGAAAAGCAATTACCTAGAGAAGAGAATCCTTAAAGTTATAAAAGGGAGATCTTATTTTTTTTCTCTTCTGACCAAATGACAAAACAAACAGAAATTGCTCTGAATAAGATTAATTTATATTAATTAGCTCCACTGGCTTATCAAAAAACCTTTCACAAGTGCTGACCACAAAACTGCAGGTGGGGGAGTACAGGGCTCCTGTTAAAGCTCTGAAATGGTGTCTCCCTATACTACAAAAGGGGACTGAAAGAAGTCAGAAAATGGCTGCACAGACCTTAAAATGTGGGCTTTAATCTCTAGCTTTCTAGCTTGAAATTTACAAAATTTTCATGTTATAGAATGATTAATAATCTGAGAATTTTGACAAGAAATTAATTTTTGAGATTAAAAACTATAATCACACTTGCCTTCTTAAAGTAATAACTAAACAAATTCCATCTTGAAATCTGGTTTCAATAGTGCTACTACTGAATAATTCATTCTTTGCTGTATCCTTTTCAAGTCTTTGGTGTTTAAGCAAAAAAAAAAAAAAACACTTACATCATCTGCAATGCCAAAGATTCTAGATGTCAAATACTTGAGTATAATGGTCCCAAATAACCAAAAACATCCTTGGATAACCTACAAAAGGAAAGTAAAACAAAACTAACTTTATGTTTCTAGTTCTATAGTTTAGGGGGAAAAAGTGCTTTAATTACACATGAAACAATACCTCTATCTCTAAGAGAAAAATGCTCAAAAAATACATCTTAATTTAAAGTGAAGGATGTTGCTCCAAAATCAAGGACTATAACCTATATCCATACAATCTTACCAGCAAAATTAAAATATTTTACCAGAGGTTTATATAGGAATTACAGTGAAATTATCCACCTACTAATGGTCTCTCCTATACATGCTGCTCCTCAAAAGAAACATGTAGACAATAAAGTAAACAAAACTGGACTTCTGTAACCATGGACCCCCAATTACTCTTCACTTACTTCATGAAAAGGGCAATTGGGCACATTAAAATTGAGCCCTAATATGTTACACAACGGTCAGATCCCTGCATTATATACATCAGTTCCTTAAGATGAAAACAAAACCAATGATATATTTTAAAGAAGAAAAGTTGTATGCATGAAAAATATATTGATTCTTACCCATAAACTAAGTTCAGACACATTCATTTTCAGAAAATGTGGTTTCATTGCCAGCACACCCTGAATAGAGCACATAACAGTGAATACTTACAAATGCAAGCAACAAATAGTTATTTTAAATAATCAGACTTTCAAGAATGTAAAATTTTCCCTACACTATCTATCATCATTTGCTTAATCTACAGTCAATGATTTCAAAAAGTAGCCCCTTTTTAAAAAACCCAAAGTAGACTAAATCAATAAGTGACTTTATAAAATTGAAAAGAAAATATATAAATTCCTAAGACTGTTTTTTACATATCTGGTTTACTTACAAACAAAAGGTACATAAAATTTCAGTTTTTAAACAAGTCATAAGATTTTCCTTACGCTAAATATTACCAACTCAGGATAAAATAAAAATTAGATTATAATGGGTCAACCAACTATTTCTCTGTCAAATCTGTAGTCTTTCCAGGTATACTGCCTTTCAAATTATATTATATGGACTTAAACTTGATAAAAATATAGGTTCAAAACACAAACACAGTAATAGAAAGAGTAAGTCTTTTCAGAATTTTTCTGAACACTTGAGAATCCAAAATGTGGTACGATTCATGTTTCAAAATGATCAAATGCAAATAAATACATGCAAATGTACACATACTATTCTACAATTGTTGGCATCAAATATGAGGTATTCATAAACATGCCGAATTTATACTGAAGACACATCAGTGTCAAGTATTTAGCAAGGTGCCTGACACAATCTGTGTGCTCAGGTGAACTAAAGAGACGTCTCCTTACTAAGGTTAGATTGTACCCACACAAAATACTCAACGGCTTCCCTATACATAAATACAGTCATGCATTTTATAATAATAGCAGCATCTGCAAATATATGTGTGTAAAATATAGAAATGAGTAACACTATCACATCTTCCTAATTACAGAATACAGTGATTTTCCTTCATTCCTCTTTTTTTTTTTTTTAAGACAGAGTATCACTATGTAGATGGAGTAGTGCTGCCTGTAATCCCATCTATGCTGAAGGCATAGGCTGGCCCCAGGCAAAACCAGGGTGCTATGCAGAAAAACAAAACTAAAGGGCTTGTGGCATGGCTCAAATGCAGAGCTCCTACCTAGCAAGCCTGAGGTCCTAAATTCAAACTCAAGTATCACCCAAAACAAAAAACACTTATTAGTCCGAGAGCACAGCAAAATAAAAGTTAAGGACTTTTGTTGCTGAAAACACAGCATCACCACATGTTCACTGATCATTTCTATGACCAAATACACTAAGGCTTAGACTGGTAATAGGTATATTTTGAGGAAATTGTTTGTTTGTTTTTTTTTGCAGTAAACATGCTATGCTTACTCTTGAAATAATTCTTTCCTCTACACAGGTGTGTTGTCAACTTGAGATATATTTATTCTTATTTATTTTTGTTTTGGAATTTTTATCTTCAATATTTTAGCGATTGTTTTTGTTTTGGGGAGGGGGTTGCAGGTGTTTGAACTTAGGGCTTCACACTTGCTAGGCAGGTACACTACTACTTGAGTCACTCTGCCAGCCAGCACTTTTTTGTGTTAGGTATTTCAGTATAGGGTCTTGCAAGCTATTTGCAGGGCTGGCGTTAAACCACAATCCTCCTTATCACTGCCTCCTGAGTAGCTAGGATTACAGGTGAGAGGCACCATGTGCCAGCTGGAATAGGTTTTAAAGAATTATTATTTGTAAAACAAGACAAACAAATAGGAGGCTCCACATTTGTTAATGGGTTCTAGAAATCAAGAAAGCAAAAATGCTCTGAATAACTTCAGTGATTACTCAACAGCAGGACAGATTCCGGTTGGGACAGTGCTTTGTCTTTAAGAAGCCAGCCTTTACTAAAGTGCATTTTCTTTAGATACCAGGACTAACTTTGGTTGGCAAAACAAAACCAATGTTAAAAACCAACAGAAAAAAGGCACAATCACCTCTGAAAGCCTGCATTTCAAAAGATTTTTATATTTAGACTGAAATTGAAAAGAGGAAAAGGAAAAAAGAAGCAGAAAGAATAGAAACCTCTCTGAAACACACCCTGGGACCAAAACGTGGGTGAGAAAATCTGAGGGATAAAGGGCAGACTGGGGCTAAAAAGCATGGTGCTATGCTTTCTGATATTAACCTTTCATTGTGAGGTTGTGGTTTTCTTTTTTTCCTTGCTTTGAAAGTGAGTACTTGAACACTCTGTCACATATAGATGTATTCAGTAAGACACTTGAAACGGTGCTTGTAGAATCCACTCGTAATCTCAAATAAGTAATAAAGAAACTGATACTATTAGTTTCAAAAACAGCCATATACTTAAGGAACACTTACCCAAATAATTACCAAGGAGGAAGCATAGTAAGATGTTAATAACATCGAGTTCCCAAACATCAAAACAAAACAAAGTGCAAGAGAAATCTGGAAAAAGCCAAGAAGAAAATATAATTAGTACACATGAAACAAAAAGAAAAACACTGATTTCACTGGGACAACTGCAGATGCCCACAATAAACAGAATCAAACCATTCAAAAGGGAACACACAATAAAAACACCCCACTCTTCATTCCACGTCTCAAACCCGAGGTAACCAATCCACACATCAATGTGTATCCTTCCAGGCATCAACATGAAGAAACTCTAGTTTATATTTTATTTAAAAGCCACAAATGGCCAAGTTGCAATCCTAGCTACTTGGGAGGTAGAAACTGGAAGGATGGCAATTCAAGATCAACCTGGGGAAAAAAGTTTGTGAGACCCTCCCCCAACCAATGGCTGAGTATGGTAACATGTACCTGTCATCTCAACTATGTGGGGTTAGCACAAATGGAAGGTGACAGTCCAAGCCAGTCCTGGCACAAAGTGAGACCCTATCTCAAAAAAAATAACCAACATAAAAAGGCCCAAAGGTATGGTAGAGTGCCTGCCTAGCAAGTGTGAGGCCCTGAGTTCAAACTTCAGTACTGTCAAAAAAAAAAAAAGCTACAAATAATTTACCCATATCCTATACTGCTTCTTGTCTTACTTTAAGAATGTTTTAGAGAGTTTTTCATATCAATCCAAACCAATCTAATTCATGAATGGAAAAGTATTCCACTCTACAGATGTGACAAAGTTTATGTAACTGCTCCTTTGAGTACTGCTCAACACTCGAGTGATTTCCAGTGCCATTTTGTTTTCTTTTTCCTATTACAAACACCGTTGTGATAAATGCCCTATATGTAATCTTATGCACATTTCAGTGCATTCATAGATAAATTACCAGAAGTGGTAAAAATATTAACAAATTGACCCTCAAAAAGACTCCTCCAAGAACAGGGTATGAGAGTTCCTTCTGCTTTACACTTGGGCCCACTCAGCTGTCTATTCCCATGAAAACCTTCCAATCTAATAGGAAAAAAAATTAAATCATTGTTTCACTCTTTCATTCTTTTAACAGTGGATGAGAAACAGCATTTTTCTTTTATTCACTGCGCATGTTGTCTTATCTGTGTACATGAATTACTTTTTTGTAATGTACATTTTCCTAATGGGTTAGGTTGTTTTAAGAGATTCTGTTACATACTACAGAACATAGCTCCTTATCAAGCATATTTACAAATATTTTTCCAAGATCATTTTTTAATCTTTGTAGTGTTTTTATTACAGGTATTTCCTAAAATTTTATTTGGTTAAAATTTTCATTTTTTTTTAGGTCTTTAGGGTTTATCTCAATAATGTAAAAACTTTAAAAATAAAATAACGCATATTTCTTCTTCAAGTTTTAATTTTCACTTCTATATATCAAGTCCCACGTGAATTTTAGATGAGTTTAGTTTCATTGATTTTTTAATTAAGATTATTTAATTATGAACATTACATTTATAGTTATATTTGTCCAATACTGAATCTTTAGATTCAAAAGCAATATATCTTGCTTCCATTTTGAAATCTTCTTACATATAATAGTGAATATGAAGTTGTCCTTAAATAGATCCCACATATTTCTTCAATTGATTCTAAAGCATATTGTTTCTGTTGCTATTGTATCAGGAATCTTTATTCCTAATACATAGAAAAGATATATGAAGAAGGCATCAATTAATGTAATCTTTTATTGTTTCTTGTAGTAGTCTGTTAACTTGGATTTTCCAGGTATTTAAAATCACATTAGCTATAAACAATGATAACTTTATATCTTCCTATTTTTGAAACTTTTTTTAGTCAATCGTGTAAGTTAATATTTCTGCAATAATCTTAAATACTAAAAGTGGCAGTGTGCATAGTTATCATGATTAATCAGAATGGTTCTACTGATTTATCACTTGTGTGACGCGAGTTTTTGGTTTGGTTTGAGGCATGAACATATGCTTAAAATTTCAATGAAATATCCATCTATTTTTCTTTGAATAAGGTCTTAAAGATCAGAATAGATGTTGATTCTTATCAAATACCTTTAAGGTATCAAAGGAAATGATGACATTGTTTATCTTTTTAAAACTTCTCTTAGTGCAATAAACTATATTAATGGAGTTTCTAATGTCAAAATATTTTTGTACTCCTAGGATCACCTTTACTTGTCATTATATTTTATTTTCATGTACTTACTAAATGGGTAACTAAATTCTTTTTTTTCCATTTCTTTTATTTTGTCATTTTTATATTTACTTACATGTACATACATTGTTTGGGCCTCCTCCCCATTCCCCCCTACCCTCACCCCCTGCTTCCAGGCAGAACTTGTTCCATCCTATGTTGAAGAGAAAACATAGGAGATAATAAGAAAGACACAGCATTTTTGCTAGTTTGAGATAAAGATAGCTATACAGAGAGATTCCTAGCATTGCTTCCATGCACATGTGTATTGCAACCCACACTGGTTCATCTCTACCACACCTCTTCACTACTTCCTGGTCCTCCTCCCATAGTGGCCTCTGCCAGTTTAAGATTACTTTATTTGCTCCTCTACAGTGAGCACATCAACCACATTCAAGTTTCAGATTTCCTTCCCTTTCCCTATTCCTCCCATGCATGTTCTCTGCTTAGTGTGTGACCCATGTCCAATAATATTACTATGCTGTTTTGGGTCTATAATCTGCATATAAGGGAGAACATGTGATTTTATGCCTTCTGAGCCTGGCTAACTTTGCTTAAGATGATGTTCTCCAGTTTCATCCATTTACTTGCGAGTGACAAAATTTCATTCTTCTTTGTGGCTGAATAAAATTTCATTGTGTATAAATAACACATTTTCTTAACCCATTTGTCAGTAGTGGGACATCCTGGCTGTTTCCATAGCTTGGCTATTGTGAATAGTGCTGCAATAAACATGGGTGTGCAGGTGCCTATGGAATATCCTGAGTTGCATTCCTTTGGGTATTTCCCTAGGAGTGGTATTGCTGGATTACATGGCAGATCTATGTTTAGATTTTTAAGAAGCCTCCATATTGTTTTCCAAAGCTCACATTCCCACCAGCAATGTCTAAGTGTTCCTTTTCCCCCATATCTTCACCAACATTTATTTTTGGTGGTGTTTTTGATGATAGCAATTCTAACAGGAGTGAGGTGGAATCTTAGTGTGGTTTTGATTTGCATTTCCTTTATGGCCAGAGATGGTGAGCATTTTTTCATGTGTTTTTTGGCCATTTAGACTTCTTCCTTTGGAAAAGCTCTGTTTAGTTCAGTTGCTCATTTCTTTATTGGTTCATAGATTTTTGGGAGAGTTTTATTTTTTAAGTTCCCTGTATATTCTGGTTATCAGTCCTTTGATGTATAGCTAACAAAGATTTTCTCTCACTCTGTGGGTGGTCTCTTCAGTTTAGAGACCATTTCTTTTGTTGTGCAGAAGCTTTTTAACATAGTCCCATTCGTCCATCCTTTCTCTTAGTTGCTGGGCTGCTGGAGTTCTACTAAAGAAGTCCTTGTCCATGTCTATTGCTTCCAGTGTATTCCCTGCTCTTATGTGTACTAACTGCAAGGTTTCGGATCTGATATTAAGAACCTTAATCCACTTTGAGTTGATGATAGTACAGGGTGACAGGCATGGAACTAATTTCAGTTTTTTGCAGGCAGATAACCACTTTTCCCAGCAATATTTGTTGAAGAAGCTATCTTCTCCATCGTATGTTTTTGGCATTTTTGTCAAAAATAAGGTAGGCATAGCTGTGTGGATTCATATCTGAGTCCTCTATTCTGTTCCACTAGTCTTCATATCTGTTTTTGTTCCAGTACCATGAAGTTTTTAGTGCTATGGTTCAGTAGTATAGTTTGAAGTCGGGTATTCTGATACCTCCAGCATTGCTCTTTTTGCTCAGTATTGTGTTGGCTATTCGTGGTGTTTTGTGTTTCCAAATGAACTTTAGGGTTGATTTTTCAATCTCTGTGATGAATGTCATTGGGATGTTGATGGGAATTGCACTGAACATGTACATTGCTTTTGGTAGTATAGCCATTTTTACTACATTGATTCTGCCAATCCATGATCATCGGAGATTTTTCCACCTTCTGAATTCTTCTTTGATCTCTTTCTTCAATGGTTTGTAGTTCTCCATGTAGATGTCATTTATATCCTTTGTTAAGTTTATTTCTAGGTATTTGATTTTTTTTCGAGGCTATTGTGAATGGAATTACTTTCCTATATTCTTTCTCAATTTGTTCATTGTTGGTGTATAGAAAGGCTACTAATTTTGTAAGTTGATTTTGTATCCTGCTACGAACAGCTTTGCTGAAGTTGTTTATGGTGTCTAGGAGTTTTGGGGTGGAGTTTTTTGGGCCTTTAAAGTATAAGATCATGTCATCTGAAAATAGGGATAGTTTGACTATTTCTTTACCTATTTGTATTCCTTTTATTTCTTCTTCTTGCCTTATAGTTCTGGTGAGGAATTCCAGGACTATGTTGAATTAGCAGTGGGAACAGTGGGCACCCTTGTCTCATTCCTGACTTTAGGGGAAGTGGTTTCAGTTTTTCCCCTTTAAGTATGATGTTGGCTATAGGTTTGTCATATATAGCCTTTATAATGTTGAGGTACATTCCTTCTATTCCTAGTTTTCTTAGAGCTTTTATCATGAAATGGTGTTGAATCTTATCAAAGGCTTTTCCTGCATCTATTGAGATGAGCAAGTGGTTTTTGTCTTTGCTTCTACTAATGTGCTGTATTACATTTATTGATTTGCATATCTTGAACCTTCCCTGCATCCCTAGGATAAAGTCAACTTGGTTATGATGAATGATCTTTCTGGTATGTTGTTGGATTCAGTTTGCATTATTTTATTGAGGATTTTTGCATCAATGATCATTAAGGAGTCTGGCTTGTAGTTCTTTTTGGATGTGTCCTTGTCTAGTTTTGGGATGAGTGTAATGCTAGCTTCACAGAATGTTAGCAGTATTCCTTTTCTTTCTATTTCGTGCAAGAGTTTAAGGAGAGTTGGTATTAGTTCCTCT